AATAAATTCAGTTTATTACCTAGTATTAATACATTTTGTGTGTATAATTGAATAAATTGATTTAGTTGAAACTGTTATAATCGCTAATAAGCAGAGAAATTGGATTAAAGGATCATTGAATATGTAACTACATGTGAATAATTATTATACTTGAAATAAACGTTTGTTAAAGCTTGTTCTGTTTATTGAGTTTTATGGTCAGGTTCAAATAATTTTGATCGATAAATGATAATTTGGTATACGATAATTTTTGTGTTAAATGATTTAATACTGATAAATTTGGCTTTAGATAATTAGAAAAGCAAGGGTTTTTAATATATAATACGTAAATATATTTTTTATACACATATCGTCTGCCTGTGATCACGGTTGCTGTAAAGTAGCCGAAAGAAATGTCGGGAGTATTTACTATGTAGTTTATAGTAAAAAATAAAAAATCGCGTAGTAAAATCCGAAAATATTAGTTCCATTAACATTTTTTAATACAACATATTCTGTAATCAGTACATGTTGCAATGGTTAATGCAAGCCATATTCTTGGCTTTTCATTTACTCAAACAATTGGTGAACGATTGGGAAAGCATTTAGAAGGCAAAAACTGTAATAACTTTAGTAGAATAGTACAATACTGTGATCAGAGATGCAAATTACCTTAGAACTATTCACGATGGAACTGTCATAATAGTTAGGAGACTGAATAGACTGTGGGTCGAGTAAAAGAATAGTCTGATTGGGCACTTGATAGTCCAGTCCGCTTATATTATGTTACAGTTTAAATATAAACTATTTAAATATATGATTCAACATAAGTATGTAATTGAAAATAATATTACACCAATATGGTAAAACTGTGTAAGAATGGACAGATATAAATATAAATTATGTGTAATATACATGATATAATTAAACATAAAATTATTTAATACCAAACCCATACAACTATTGTCATACAAATTTGAAAAACAACTTGTTCCAAAGTTATATATATTTTTAGTATTTAAGTTTTTGATTTCCTTTTACGATAAAAAATGATAAAAATAAAGTTGTAGACGATTAAATCAGTTAAAAGTAAGGCATAAAGGTTTTCATTTATTTTATTTCATTAACATCTTAGCTATTAGCAGTTAGGATTCCCTAAACATTTTCATAATTGTAAATCCATTTGAAATCCAGTATAGGATATGTTTAGGTCCTTAAATTAAATAACACTGAATTTTTTCGAATGAATTACTTAGTGAACTGTAATTTGAATATTTAGTTTGAGTGTATTTAATAAAATATTTTATATTCATATTTAGGTCGGCGTCCATAGTCGAAGTCTGCACCGTCACACTACATATGATGCGTTTCCTGCTGTTCATACAATATCCTCTTAAATACTACAATGTGAGAAGTGATGAATAATGTGAGATATATGAAGGCAAAACTGTTGACGCTCCTTATGTCGAATGACGATTCCAACTTATACTAACACATGAACAATTGAAGCACAAAATATTTATATACTTATCTAGTGGTTAAAAGGCCCGCCTCTCATGCATGAGGGCGCGGGTTCGATCCTGGCCCGGGCAAGTACCAATGCGATTTTTCCGAGTCATATGTACTTTCTAAGATTATTTAGACATCACTGATTAATTCTGATTACCAAAAGAGAGTTGATGTCAGGCAGGCGGCCGGTCGTAAAACAATTAGCCAAGACTATTCACAACATGTAAGGCAGACCCTGGCTAATTCTGAGAAATTCTCAGGTAGAAGATGTGGTATGACGTTTCCAACTTATACTATTACATGAACTATTGAAGCACAAAATATTTATATACTTTCCCACTATTGCGAGGAACAAAATAGGCTGTACCGTTTATTATTTATTCGATATATGTATATACATAGCTTTCACTATAGTGAATTATTGAATCGGTTTCAGTAATAGTGGATGGTAGCGAATATTATCAACAAATCTTCGGTGATAAATTTACTGGCCCTATTTAATGATAAAGGCCGGCAACGCATCTACAACACCCCTTGCAGATGTCCATGGGCGACGGTAACTACTTACCATCAGGTAGGCTGTCTGCTCGCTTGCCCCTTTGGAACATAAAACAAAAATGATTTTAGAGGTCACTGAATGAAGTACCAAAACAGAAAACTTCAGCACAAATACAGTTATAATCTATTGAAAACTTACATTTAGAGTGGCATTTGTTAATATCATCAATATAAATTTTAATTCAACTTGTTAACCATCTACTTTTGAGCCCCGTCCTCTATTTTTGGAAAACGGGTGTAAATAATTTTCAAGCAGCATCTCGGAAATTATTATTAATTATATTTTAAACGATTCGTGTAATAATTTCTGTTTTATTAAAATAATATATTTTGATTGATATATGATTTTGATAATGTTTTTTAATGTTATATTAGTCAGGACTTAACGATTTAATTAGAAGAACTACGGCCATATATATGTAGTACAGATAAAAATAATTTGCTAATACCAAATACAGTTTGAAGAACGAATATACCAGAATTTTTATGGCTTAAAGTATACACTGAATGTCTTATTTTAAAAGGCGGCTTTCTTTTGAGAGGTCTAATTATTGTTTATTATAAATCAATCAATACTTAAATACTTTTCCAAATAAAAAAGTTCTTCAAGACGAACAGCTCAATACAAAATTTTCCTATTTCGAACAGTTACAATCTATAGTATTAACAATAGTAATAAAACTATTTAACAGAGAATTCGTATAAAATTATTTTAGCCTCCATTCAAATACAAATCATAGATAGTTCATAAGGATGTTGGTCCATTAGGAGAAACATTATTATCAGTATTTCTGTACTGCTGTTATATTGTTGCCAGGGCTCGTTGAAATTCTGGTTCAACTCGGACTATAGGTTAATTAGTTCGTTGTAGAACTGAATATTTGGTATTACGCTAATTGACGCAAACAACATATATGTTACTTGACTATATATATATGTATATATATGCGTTTTACTTTAACTTCAACATATACGATATTTTTTGTATGCTTTATAAAGTAGATATTATTATTAATATTTTTACAAGATAAATAATTTTTAAAATAACCTGAATATATGCCATGTTTGCAATATTTAATATCAATATATTTTTATCGTATATTTGTGTATGTTAACCAATATTGATATATGTCAGTATGTCGTGTTAACGTGACCCAAAAATTGTTCTGTTCAGTTTAGCATAGTACTCTTCACCAACAACACTGTATAACGCAATAATGGCATGAGATTGTGTCTATAAAATAAAATTCATTTATACACTGTGATGGAGAAGTGTGGAAAAAGAGAAAATTGTTTTGGTGATACAAAAAATGTTTAAAATATATTTGTATCATGTTCAATATGAAATTATTAACTAAGTAATGTGTAATTAGGTCACTCCTAGGTACCTACACGCTTGCTTCGTTCAAATTACCAAGCTTGGAGGTTCGTTCCTACTATCCTTATTTTCCTTTATTATTTAATTTTAAACAATATTTTAACCTTATAAAATATTAAAAGCACACACGAAGTTCTATTTCATATATTTTGAATACTGCAATTTTAAATCATTTTAGCGAAACTGTTGGATTCACTTAAGCGGTGTTAATTTTATTTATAAAAAAAATCTGTCGCTGTTGAATGATTTGACGTGGCGAGCATTTTTTAAAAATTTAGCTCGAATATTTGCAAACTTTTTTTCATATTGTTCTTACATCGATGTACATCAAATCATTGCTTGAATTAATATTTTATTGATGAGATAAGATTACGAACAAATTACCCAGTTTTATTTCCATGAGACTATTTTATCAGGTATAGAAAGGTTCTAGTTCAGTTCTGAGTAGGAATTGAAAGTATCATAAACATATATGTATATACTATTTATATGGCACTTAATTTATACATTTTATTAACACCTGTACATAAATTAGTATAAATACATACGAGTATAATGAGATCTAAGGGTTTCACGAGTACTCGGTTTCGGCTACTTTACAGCAACCGTGATCACGGGCAGAGATGTGGCCATCATAGAAAATATTAGTTTCATTTAGTATATAGATAATATTATAACTCCAAAATGATATGCTCATTTATATACCAATATTATATACATTAATATTCATGAGACATAATTAGTCTCAAATGTTATATTATTTATGTGTTGGTACTAAGTAGAACGTTTCCTAGCGTTGTAGATATCGTTTTAAGTGCTATTCATAATGAAGTATCTGAGTGCAGTCATTATGTTGTACGTGTAAGTTTAATCATCTTTACACGGATGTATTTGCAAATTGATTAAAAGGTAGCTTAATTTGTAAATGTACGTAGTAAATTTATAATAACTTTTTTCCGAGCATAAGAATGAATGAATTTTTATTATTTTGTATATATTTATTGTTTTATTTATATTTTTCTTTTATTATACGCTTACAATCCAGTCGACGAATGATGTAATTCTAGTGTAAACAGCTGGATAGCCTTTTTCACACCCGGCAATGGAACCGAAAGACGTAGCTCCCACCTGCGGTTGTAAAGATAATAGATTTTTACTCAGATAATTATGCATATGTTAATGAGTGTGCTATAAAAAGTGAACAAGTATATAAATCTTTCTTATAAAAAAGATGTTATCACTGACATTATTTGACTAATAGAAACTTAAGTAAAATGACAATCAGACTTGTGATAATAGAAATAAAATAATTCAAATGCATTAAAAACTGATACCACATTTTCAGCACAGCGTTAGGATATATTGAAGTAGGTATGTCCTACGACGAGTATGAGGACATGAGTTTTTAATAATAAAATTTATCTGGTCGTTGTAATTTTGTTTTGTCTTTTGAGGAATATTTACTACTTGAATAATACCTAATATCTAAAGGAATTACTGCAATCAAACGCCAATCGATTAACAATCTTTTCGCTGCGGATTTTTTGTTGACAGACTTAGATTGTGGCGTTTATTATTATTCTGACGTCACATACAAATACCATGAAGTACTTTTTCCGCCTACCAGAATACTTTTTCCGTGTATTTTGACAGCAAGTGGGCCTCCTGAGTCGCCATGACACGTGCTTGCAGTGTTGTTCCCTATGGTGCAAACATGGGAATCTTGGATGATCTCAGGATATACGGCAGCGCATTCCTCGTTAGAAATTATTGTCAGAGATACCGAACTCAGATATTGATCGGATGTTATTTTAAGACCTGGCAAACATACAAATATTGTATTAAAACATTTTTAATTTAAGTATATACATAATGCTAAACATAATATGCATATTTACAATGATTTTCAATTATATACATATATAAATATATATCAAGTTACTTCAATATGAGGAAAACAAAAAGGGATTATGTTCTAAAATCCTCGGGAAAAGTGTTCATTATTTTTAGTAATTTATTTCCGATACACAAGTAAAATGAGGAGACAAAAGAAATTATAGTGCAATTACTTGTTTCTTTGTTTTGTCAAAATATTAAAACTTCATTATTATTTATGATATGTATAAAAATTATATAGAAAGAAAACATTCGAAAGAGTGGTTATTTAGATGTCACTAAAATATAAAAATACCTTTTCAAATATTTATAACAAACAAGTGGGTAGTCGTAAATTTTGCGAAAGAAATAATAAGTAATCATGTGCAAGTCGTGAGAAAAAGTTTATCTTTCATCTAGACAAGAACTTAAATGTAGAATTAAGTATGAAGTTGATAAAATATTCAGTACTTTCTTTAACGAAGTAATGTTAATATGAAATACGTCATAATATTTACCATCCCCAATGATGCCGAATCCGGAGGCTAAAGACGTCCAACCCGTAAACTTTTGATAAAGTATATCTTCACTTGGAAGGGCAATTGGCTGGATTGAATCTTAGGGTATAATATTTAATATTAATGGTAGAAACAAAACATGTAAATATAACTAAGATTTTTGGATATACGGGCAAACGAGATGAAAATTACATTTTTATCTCGTCTGATCGTGATCATGGTTGCTGCAAGACCGAAACATCGGGAGTATGTATTTTTAAAGAAGTAAAAAACGAGTAGTATATAACCAAAAAATCTTAGTATTATGTAAAAATCTTAGATGTCATTACAATTTTGTATGAAATTTCAAGTTTTATTTCCGTTATTTATGTGATATAAAATTTGAATATTATACATACATAATATCTGTGCCTTCTCTTGAGTACAATAATATACTTACCACTGAATTTTATCTTAGGTATATGTAATATAGCGAGATCATTCTCCGAAATCGTTGGATTCCACATAGGATGGACAGTCACTTGATCCGTGTCAATGCGTCGTCCGCCTTTAAACAAGTTCATGGTACCAAGAACAACTGTGTATGATATGGTCACCTTTACACCGTCATCATAGCAATGGGCTGCGGTGAGTACACGCGTGCTACTTATCAAAGAACCTCCACAAACAGAAGTTATGAGCTCACTGAGATGTATTATCAATCCAGCCTGCAATATTAAATTATCATATCATTCTATACTCATTTAAGTTAAATTACTTAGAAGAAATGCCTGGTTGCTGCAATGTAACCAAAACGTCGGGAGTATACAGGGTGACTGGTGAATTACTATCGATATTTGAGGACGTGATAGTTGACGATCATATATGACAGAATAAAAATTAATATAACATAAATATTAATAAACTTCTAAGTAAAGTTAACCAAAAGTTGTGTAATTAATTACGCATCGTGTGAACACCCTACAGATTAGGTATACAGACACACTCACACACACGCGGCGGGGGCGTGGTTTTGTATCAGCACGCCGCCTCACGCGTCCACACTCGGAACACTTGGAACGTGTCAACACTTTATTTATTTATACGGAAATTTGGTCAAAAATTAAGTACCTATTTTTTTTACATAATTCGAATGAGAATCATGTACCGAGTATGCTCCTTAAATATTGATAGTAATTCACCAGTCACCCTGTATAGTTTGAAATAAAAAAAAACGCGTAGTAATCTGATAATATTAGTGAAACATTTAAATGAATACATGCGAAAGTCTTAGATCTCATTGTTTATAATGTATCATAATTTTTTTTCTAATAAACACTCCGGCCTGTCAAGTTTCCTTGGTATAAAACCATGAGGCTCCAAAATCATACGAATTGAGCGGTATGAGATGCAGAATAAGGAAATGTTTTATGATCATTAAAAAAACTAGATTGATATGTGTATAAAATCCGAAAAATATTAGTTCCATTTAAGTGAATACTCGCGAAACTTTTTGACTTAGAAAAAATTTAATATATAATTCAACTTGTTAGTTAGTATTATAAATGAAATATATACCTGTATATATACTACTTACTTGATAAGGAACATCTTGTATGCGGGTGATTTCTCCTCCGGTAATTTCACTAATAATTATTTTTTTATGCAATACGTCTCTTAATAATGCTTTGGCTTTAGGTATACCAAAGTTAGTGTGATAGTTTAAAGGATTTATGTCACCAAAGAAGTCTTCAGTCACACACATTTTAAATCCCAAAGTAATTATATAATAAATTACAATTATATTCATGTTTGAACTTATATTACAATATCAGTTAGATGTACGCTAATAAATAAAAAGACATTTGACGTACACAAGTACGTGTGATGCAGAAAAATAATTACTATTGGAGTGTGTCGAAACAGCAATAAGTTTATTGACAACCATGACTATAAGGTAACACGTTTAATAATTTTTACATTAGTATAAAATTAAATTATGTTTATATTATTTAATTATATAATATTTAAAAAAGCTATTTTTATAAATATATAAAATAATTAATTTATTTATAATAAACATTATTAAAAATAAAACCTTCATGGACGTTTTATCAAAGTCGAAAGATTTACTATAATCTGCCGTTGAGCGAATTCCAAAAGAATGTTTAGGATTTTATGTGTAAATATCAACATCCATGTGTATATTAATATTTAAAGAAATGTCTATGTTCATACAAAAATTATGGTGTTTCTAAAGGCTGACATCAAAGTTATTACACAATAGTACTTTAAGCAGAATTTTAGAAAATACATAGATGTTTTTTGTAGGGCATTCTTTTCATTTTTATTAAATTTTTCTTTTTATTTTATGTTTGCTTCGTGTTATTTCTGATTTATCAAACGAGCTCTGTATGTAATCTATAATCTATCAATTACATTAATTGGTGTAACGATCCTTTTGGAGGATAAGGTAAATTGTATTCACCTCTTTTTTTATATCGAACGAAAGCTAATCCGGTGAGGTCGTATTTAATCGTCGCTTAACTAGGGTCCCCATGTGCAATGTCTCACGGTTCTTAGACCTTAATCCGTTTCGTAATCAAAATGAATCTCTGTGGGACCCTGAACAGTCCTTACCTCTATGAACCCCGACAAAATTGATTAATACTTCGTAGTAATCATGTTATTGACTCAATTATATTAAGTGGCCAAATTAGTTTAATTATTTTATAAATAGGGATAACGTGATATGTTGCATTGTTAAATATAATTGCGTATCACAAAACCGAATGAGTAGATTTAACATTTTTAATGAATGAACTATAATTAATAGACTGAAATGATAATTTAGTTTAAATTTGTTTCAGACACTGTTGTTTTCTTTATAATGTCGTTGAATAAGCTTAATTTTTTTCTTAACGAAGCTCATATCTGAAAGCGAGTGAATAAAGAAAGTTTTTCTTCCATTTTTCTAGTGAGAGTTTCGCATTATACGCATAAACGCTGTTAGTCAGCTGGGTGAGGCTAAAAAGCACACCTGGTGTTTACTACTTTAATTACGTTAGCTATTAATCCAAGTCGGAGAGCAGGGGTTGATGACAGAGACGAATTGGCCCATAATTTTCAATATTTTAACAACGTCTGCATGCGTTATCGACCTTCTTAACAACAAGACATAATATAATGAAAATAATGAACTGTTAAAGTTAAACTCATTTCGTATATATGATTACGGTCACGAATATTTTTATTAGTATATATCTCATGTTTCCTAATTGACGTTGAAAGGGAAATGGAGCTCATTTAAATACTTTGCAAAGGAAAGTGTTATTTCTCACTCCGAAAACGCTTTCATAAGATATCGTAAGGTTCGCACGTTTAATATGAAATAGGCACAAAGTACAGTGCGTCTCATTTCGAGGTTGTTTTTGTAAGTGTGCTGAGAACTCAACAACCGTGTAATGACCCTTCCACGTATTATAAAGTCTTTTTGCCGTTTTATGTACAAATTATATCCCTTTGCATATACGTCGAGCATAAAAGTACCTTTTGGATTATTTTCAACATTCATTTAAGATTATGACAATATACCTACTTAAGCATGAGGGCGAATTTTAGGTAAAATATCAGGGAGTTTGATAAAAATATGTAAGTAAAGTTGAATAGCTCGTTAGGCGGTATTCGTAATTTTCTAGTCTTGTCTGTTTGTTATGTTGAACACAATTAAAATATAACGCGCATAAATATGTATATATATCTGAATGTATGTTTTAATGTAATCAAAAGTTCGGTTTACATAAAAACTGCAAAGGGATAAAGTTTCCGTTTGTGGCCGCAGCCAACGTAATCCGACAGTTTTCCGATGTGTGTAGGAAAGCCTTCTATGTCGACGGACAGTGGTACTATGAGATACATGGAATACTCGTTAGAAGTTAGCAACAAATAAACCAAAACAATTCGACAGATCGATTTTATAAGTCTTTCTTTGAGCAATGTTCGTGTATGAACTGGAACGAGAGGATATTTTTTATTTGATTTCATAATAGTAATAAAATCTGTTAAAGCTGTTTTTTCTACGTTTTTATATTGAACGATTAATTATGTATGCTTTATTATAGAGGAAACTCAATAAGTTTTGTTATTCTGATAAGGGACTTAAGGCGGGACTTGAATTTTATACTGTTGTAACAAATACACGTCGGATAACTGGCGATAATCCAAGTTTGTGGCCTTCCCGATTGTTTCCTGGATTCATTGCATGTTGAGATAACGTTTTGGGAGTGAAAACTTCACTATTCTTAAAAGTATATTAAATTTTCACAATATTGTCTAATAAACTGATACTTCAAATAAAGTATACGACGTTTCGCAGATGTGGAATAGTCCACCTATAATATTTAGCAGCATAGTAGCTATCTGTATTCAATACGACTCGAATAGAGCGTTTAAATGAAAATCCTCTTACAATAAGGTTTTATCGTCATATGGGACATTGAGTAAAAACTTCGGATGGCTACTTTTATTTTAATTTCCATCCCATTCAATTTCCTATAGTAGATTGACTTCCCTGCGACTGAGTAATTTAATAATTGAAAATGTTTTCATTGAAATGAAGCTTTCGCCGTTGAAGATAATGCTCTTAATATCTTTTAAATTGTTTGGGAATTTGGTCCTACAAATTAACGAATTTTTCATATGTTACCGTATTAATGTTTCAATGTAGATTAAATGACGATTGTAAAAGAAAATATTTTTAATTTTATTAACTGCTTCTTGTAACAAATTCGTCATAATTAATGTGTTATAAAGGATAGCAAAACTCAAAGTTATAAAGGAAACCTTTGGATGGGAAGAGGTGTCACTGTTTATTTATTCTCAGCATTTTCCTAAGCCACAAATCATGTAGTTTTTGTGCTATCCTCGTGCAACAAAGGGATGGCACGAAATGTGATTACTCAGGCTACAACGCTTGCATGCCAGTGAATTACTGGCCGCTTGCTTTTTTCTGATGTTCAAAAGTGAATAAAAAGTTTTGTCAGGGCACGACCAAACACAGTTATCTGTTCGCACTCGCTCATTGTAAACATTGATATATTTGAAATGAACTACACGAAATAAAATATTCAAATAAAATGTTGATTCTTTCACAGACTTTTGTTGCGTCAAATGGGATAATGAAGTTTCTGTGATCTAATTTTATATATTTGGTTTCGTAATTTCTCGATGTAAGTAAAAAATGCTCTAATCAAATTCACTATTGTTATTAAGAACAACTAGTTATTTAGATAGTACCTATTTATATTCACATTTGTTAAAACACGATATTAAAATATTTTTATTATAAATGTAAGGCAATATTAAAAATGTATATTTATTTCAGCATAGAAAATGACTAAAAATTCATTAATTTCGCTTAACCCTTGTGGCTCTTTCTTTTATCGCAAATGACAAGATAACCCGAAATGATTCGATTAAGCCTTTGGGGCTGTTAAAGTCATTTATGTTCTCTTGGGTTTCTAATTGTTCTTTATTTTATGGGTAATATTAAAGCCATTTGTTCTTATTATATATTTATAAGAACATTTCTGTTAGGATATTATGTTTTGTGATACTTTATTTAGTAAATATTATTAGTTGAGTCGACAGATTTAGAAAAGTCGTCCTTCTTCGTTGTTACATGTAGAAAGGTTGACCGGGAACATAGGTTAGCAGTAAATTCTTTACTTCGCTTACAAATCCACGTGCGATAGCGCTATTTTATTTGGGTCAGGCTCCGGAGTCAGAGTGCGCTTTAAGATAAGTGTCACTTTTGCAAATGTTTGTTTTACAACGGGTGATAAAATTTTGTACTTAGAACTATCTCACTATACAGTTGATTAATTTGAATTAAATTAGAAATGGAAATATAATATTTATTTTTTATAACTGTTTTATATATAGAATCGGGATGAGTAAAAAAATATGTAGAAAATATTGAAGAAAATTATAGACATTTAATATCAGTAGTGTCATTTGTGGAATAGGATTTTTTGTAGTAAAACTCATCAGACGATATTGTTTCTCATTCGACAATTTAAATATAATACTGAGGTATAATTTAAACGTTTAATACCGTATTATATGTGTTTTATATAAAACCATTTTATTGAGCATTTCATTTATAAGTACACCATATTTATAATTATTTATACCTGCACTGGTTTTATGGAATCAGAGCAAAACAGAATACTTAATGATGATTAATGTGACATATTAACTCTAAAGTGAGCTTCAATTATAATTATTGTATTACCATCCGTAAGGAATGATGGTGTATTCTAACTAAAATTAAGATTTAAAGGGGGCTTTTAAACAAGGGGTTATTTTAGGGGTTGTAAATCAAAGTAATACGTTCTTACTCAATTACAAAGTGAAGGTTTGTAGGGTGATTTTCAAGTACTTCAAGTGCTTGGTACGTCTAATTCTATTAGAGTGAGACCTTCGCAATGAAATGGAATTTATGGATAGTGATTATGCCTTTGTAGACAAACTTCGCTACCAAAGTTTCGACGATCAAAATAGTTAGTGTTACTTTTCAAAGTTTGACGAACCCAACATGGACAAGATTAGCGAGAACATACTTTAATAACCAACTTTATATGTGTATTTTTCGTTTGAAAACATTAAATAATATCTGAAAAATAAGACGAGAAATAGAGATTTTACTTATTATCATTTAAAAGATCTCTTAATTGATATTTATTTTTTATTTAAAATCACCAT